AACTATCTCTACTTATAATAAATCGACGCACCTAAGTCCAAATAATAATATTAATATATTTTAAAGAAAACATGAGGACAAAATAATGTAATTAGTATTTAAAAAATAATAAAAAAACTAAAAAATTGCCGCCGAGGCCGCCTAGGAGCGCCTAGGTCCGTCTACGCCCGCCTAGGCGCCGCCTAACTGTCTGACCGCTGAGCCCGCCAAGGCCGCCTAAGAGCGCCTAGGGCCGTCTAGACCCGCCTAGGCGCCGCCTAGCCGCCTGGCCGATTTTTTTGGCCGATTTGTGTAAATCGGAGGCGTCCGGGCACCGCCTAGCGCCTAAGCGCCGCCTAGGCCGACTTTTAGAATAGTGCCAACAGCTGAAAAAGTGAGAAGACAGGTCATAAGACTGCCTAGAATTCCGACTAGTAACGCTAGAACAAAAATGCTCGCAACTAAACTAATCAACTACACGATTGCCACACATAAATTAAAATAAAAAAATAATTAAAAATTCCAACAGAATAATAACCGAGTGTGAATTATGTAGGCGCCTTGCTTTGTTATTGATTGCTTTCGTATAGTCCTTGTCTCAATTTTCTTTTTCCTTTTTTTTTTTTCTTTTCCTTTTTAGTGTCCCTAGAATATCATAAAATCAGGAGGAAAAAGATACTTTTACAATTTATAGGTGTGTTTCTTTTTCTGATGTTAGTGGCTGCCTCAACTTTTTTTATTTATGGGCTTCTTCCTATATGTGTTGTTTGTAGTTTTTAGACCAATTGCTATATTTTTTTCAAATTTCTTCCTTTTTTTTTATTTATATATACACTTGTTCCATATAAATTAATTATAAAATAATTATTACTTGATTTGATTCAATTCACTTCGGATTAATTAGTATTTAATCTAGCGATTTAACTATAAACAAGACCACCAATCTATTTTAATGCATTAATTTAATTTACCGAATCAATAATTACAGAAGGCTTAATCGACCCTACTTCGTGGGCGCTGCCTGCCTCCATGAAATTTTAACCATTTATTTCACACAGAAAATTGCCCATGAAGTAGGGTATCGAATTTGCATATCGTATGAGACTATATAGTTACTTTGGATGATATTATTTCATAGCTTAAATAACGGGTTGTTTATCTAATATATATTGTATTTATTTGAAATCGAAACTAAAATCACAGCAAATTTATTTTAAATTTACTAAAATTTGTAATCTATTCTGAATTTTTTTTTTTTAAAAAAAAACTTGTATTTAGAAAATTAATTAATGAATTTATAATATAAAGTTGACGAAATTAATAAATTCGATTTTGATATAAAACGGACGATTTTATTTGTGGTATAAGGTGGGGGGACTCGCTCCATAACCGTTAGATAGACTTGAACAAGAATTTTATATTTTTTTTGTTTAGAAGAAGACTACCTACCTATGTTATTATTACGAGTTAGAACGCAAATTAAGATTTAAGACGAAAGATTTGACTAGATTAACTTAAAAACCAAATGATTAAGCTAACTAAATCTCTTCACGAGAGCCGCATGCGAAATAGATTTTTTGGTTTCTTAATTTGAAATCTTCAACCTCATGAATTGATCTCATAATTTTGGCATGTAACAAATTTACAAATAAAATAATTTTTCGGTATTTGTCCTAACTAAAAAAGAATTCAGAATCTATCTATACATATATAAAGAGAGGACATATTTACAAAAAATAGTAACAAGAAAAGTTAATCAGCATTTATTGTATTCTATTTTCGACAATTTTTTAATTTTCTTTTTAAATTATTCCCAAAATATCGAGCAGCTATATATGCGCCCTAAATTTATAGGTTTTGCAGATTTGATTTAGATAAATTTCGACTGATGCTTATAATTTTGCAAAAGTAAAAATCTTTTCCCTTTTTTTAATAAAAAAAAAAACTGATTATCATAAAATCGAGAATTTTGAATTAGAAAAAATATTATCGTATATATGTTTCCTAATTGCAACAGATCATTTGTTTATTAAAGAAATTGGATTGCATAGAAATCGAGTTAATTTAGGTAAAATTCGTCATAACAATTTGTAAAAGTCAAAATTCTCCCATTTCTATTAAATAATTTGTTTACCATAAAATTGAGAAATTCGAATTAAACAAAATACTATAACATGTATCTTTACCTAATTACAACATACCATGTTTATTAAAAAAAATCGGATTGCATAGAAATCGACTCACTTTCAAATTGATAATTAAAATTTAAAAATCTCATATAATTTGACTACTATTTTGTTTAGTTCGGAATTTTTTTTATACATAAAACAAAGTTAGAGTATATTAATTTGAAATTCAAAATGAAATCGGATTGGAACATCTTAAAAAATTAGATTTTGTTTAATAATACAAATTTAAAATTGATTGCGTACACAATTTTTTACTTCCTTAAATTAAGTAAAATACAGTTTTAAAATAATAAGGCTATAGATTATTGAGAAAGACGTTTTACAATCTTCGTTATATTTAGCTATACAATTTTCAAGAAACCAGTATAAATCACATCATATATATCCTGCTAAATAATTTAATTGATTTATTTAAGTCTATTTAGAATCCTAACATATATGAGTGTCAAATGTTTATTTACTTAGATATGGTTTACAAGAAATACATTGTTTTCTGTTTAATAATATATAAGTTACATTTTATTTTATTCCAATACATGATTTTTACGTTCTTCACTCATCTAAATATAAATGATTACCTTAATATAATTTTGGTCGTACATTGCACGAGTACCGCACTAGTTTAGAAACAAAACACTACAAGAAAACACTTCAATTCCAACGAAAAATTCCAACGGCAAAAATTTCCGTTGGAAATTCCAATGAATATTCCAACAAACTTTATTTTATGTTGGAAAAAGTGTTGGATGGTTGAGGAATTCCAACGGATTTTTTCCGTTGGAATAGCTGTAGGAATTTATTTCCATAGGATTTTTCGTTAGATTTTAACTATTCCAACGGCCGTTTTT